CTTTATGCCGCACCTCAGTTGGTATTCAAACCTCAATTACTTTCGTAAAACTCTGGTCCTTTTTGAGTTGACCAGGCGTGTATAGCACATTTAGACTGGAGTCCGTCCTGACATTGGACTCAGATGGATAGGCTAGTGTACTAGCACTTTAAACTAATTCACGCCCAGGTCAATGTCACTTCACTGGCCATTTTGTGAAGCGCACGGTAAATATCGTTTACCGATACGGTCGGGAATCAAAGTAACTTAGCTTATGACTTCTCCAGCGGTTGACAGGATTCTTCTTGCTTCTATTCGTGTAGTATTTTTATTCGCCTTACGGTTCCATATTTCTTCACGTCAACCTTAACGATATCAGCATTGGTGCCGGGTTTACCTACACTCATCTTCTCTATAAACAGCTGCTTTCAAGAACGTCCTGGTCACAGGCTTCAAATACTGTTGGAACTATTTTTGTTAACATCGTTGGACGCTTTTATTGATTGTTGGTAATTGTCACTCATTTCTCGTGTTTCTTTTATCCTTACCTAGATCATGCCGCACTATCCACCAGACAGGCAAGTTATCTTTAATTTTTTGTAAATTGTTTTTTTTTCTGCGCATCAACTAACAAGGTCTTTAGGTGGGTTCTAGATGTGATTTTAATGTTAATTACTATAATTCGGATAATAAAGAACACTAATCTCATAAAAAAAACTCGGGTATTATTCCAGCTCTCCAGCCTCGTTTGCATTGTAACCGCTGCGTCCGGCGCTCTTTTGTTAAGCCGCCAATGAAGGCTGGCGCCACGCAAATTAGCTGTGCTATCCCATGAAATATCAACAAAAAGCATGAACTGTATCTTCGTTTCGAAGAGATTACTTGAGTAGGGTTATTAATTATACTACAGTGCCGCAAGTGTTTTTTTTCAGCCGCCTAAAAAACTACACTGTAAACATGACTACATAAGCAACAGAACTGTTTCCGATTAGTATTCTGTGTTTGCTTTTATAAATTGAAACATGTTTTATAAGGAACAAACGTGCACAGCAACATTTTATCTTGCACTCATTTGGTGCCAAATTGCGTTTTCTTCAAATGTTATGCTTTAATAGAGGTCATTTTCACTTGCAAAATGGTTCCATTCCGGAATAATTTTGAACGCGGCCAAACCTTACATTTTCATTTGGGATTTCTAAACTACATGCTGTATACAGTCCGTCTCAGTAGCGCCAAAAATGTATATGCGCCAGTAAGGAGGCGTCCTATAGCGTTCATATACGTTTATAGCATATGCGGAGCACGTTTTATACTTTATGAATGCACATTTTTCGGGCTTAACGAACACTTAATTATTAACTTTTCAAAACCAGAAGATACCCTTTCTTTAAGCTTACATTTTACAGAAGACGTAATCAGCTATCAAATGAGTACAAGGAAGAATATTTCCATGCAGTTTTTTTTTCTATGGGTTATGTTTGTGTTTACAAAAATATCAAAGCTCATTTAAGTAGTCATTTTCGCAGTGCAGTTTTCACAGCCGTCCGGAAAAAAACTCGTCCAAAAGCCCGCAACCTATCGTGACTGAAGTACCTTACGAAAACATATTTCGGAATTTCGATTTTCATTTCATGAGATTGCAGATCTGCTGTAGGTTGCGTCCGCAAGGAAAACGGCTGGTTGTCAGGTTATCACCTCCGAGTCCAGCCTGCCGACTTGTGATCTGCCTTCGCTCTCAAGTGAAGGCAGAATTTGTTTTAGCCGAAGCAACTACTGCACCGTCTTCTGGAGCAAAATAGACTCGTATTTCGACTCAGAATGGTAGGCTATTATGCATAGCTAGCATGGCTAGCGAAAGCTCACACCAAAACAGTCGACGCAATCTTTAGGATCGGCCGTGCAAACTCCTTCTCTAGTGCAAACTATTTCTGATTG